GGATGTCTTCTGGCCAATTCAGTTTGCTGGCAATGGCTCGGAATTCTTGTGTATACTCAGCCACTGGGCGTTTGCCCTGCCTCATCGTTGTTATTCTTTCACGGGCTTTGCGATCAGCCAGGGGGTCTTCAAATCGTCTTCTCAACGAGGACATGAAACGGTTGAAGTTACTGAGTTCTGGGGCATTGGAGTCATGCAGGTTCACCACCCAATCTGCAGCTGGTCCATCCAGGGCAGATTGCACGATCCGGATGCGGGCTTTGTCGCTGGGGATGTCCTGCCCATATTCCTCCATGTAGCTGAGGACTTGGGTTAGGAAAAACCCCAAGCGTGTTGGCTCCCCTTTGAATTTCACCTCCAACGGTGGACGTCTTGGAATGGATCGGTGCCTCCATTGTGGGTGGTAGTGTCTTCCGTCCAGATTTCCATCTTGGGTCCGGTAGGGGGTGGGAGCTCCTGGATCAGTAAATGTCCCTGGGGTTGCAGGTTCCACGTCCCCCTCGGTGTCTCTCCCTTTGTGGCTCCAGGAACTGGGGCGGGCGTAGGGCTCAGGAATCTCCTCTCCTAGGGAGCTGAGAGTTCTCTTCATCAGGTCAATAGCTCTCTCTAGGATCCAGTCTGAGTACGGCATACAGCTTCCTCCCTCTTCACTTGCGTGCAGGGATTTCTCCATCTCCTGCTTCCATTCTGGTTGCTTGGTCCCCCGTCTCAGGGTCACTTTTCTTGATTCCTTTCCCCACTCGCTTTTCTTTCCAACGCCCATCGACCAGCGAGGCTTGTGGTCCTGTGTCTCCACCACTTCTTCTTCTGAGAAATCTGGCCTCTCGGATCCCAACATCTGGCAAGGTTCCAACTGGGTCAGCGGCTCTCTTTCCAGGGAGTTTTCTCCCTCTCTTGCTTCGTTGTCTGACATGGTAAATTTTTGCAAAATCCCCCGGCAAGGGTCTACCTTCCAGGTGGATTAATTTTGCAAGTCCTGTCTAATGTAAGGACCCACCCCACTTTGCATCTTAAGAAGACAGAACTCTTGGAATAGTTCTTCCAACAGGAATCCTTTATTAAGAGAAAATGGTTGCAGGCATGCTAGACAGGACTTGGGGTCCAAGCTCTCCCATTCAAGGTTTTAAGGGGTTCCCCAGTAGTCCCACCCAATCAACCCCCCTTCCCAGTGATAGTTTCAAGTATCACAATTCCACCCCGTTTCTTCTTTCTTCCGTCTGGATGGAGACTTCAGATAACTACATGAAAGGCAAATACTCTTCTTTGTTAATGCTAATGTTCTCTGGTGTTAACGCTTTGAGGTTACAATAGGTTACAATAAACACACATTCAGCATTCAGCTCTTTGAAGTCTACTGAAGGAAGTGAGGGCCATAAAGCCCCTTTGTTCTCCCCCTTCTCTCCCTCTTATGGCAGAATCCAAAGAAGGCAGAATTGGGAGTTTCTATATTTGATAATTAAAGATGAAATATGATTGGATTCTGACAGCCTTGTAAAGTGGTATTAACACTTCATGTGATCTTGATTCCATCCCTCTGTTAATGCAGCCTAGCACTGTGTTGGCTTTTTTGGCAGCTACAGCACACGGCTGGCTCCTATTTAGGGGATTGTCTACTAGGACTCCGAGGTCCCTCTCACAGTTACTACTATTGAGCAAGGTGCCACCTATGCTGTACTTGTGCATTTGTTTTTTCTTGCCTAAATGTAGAACCTTGCTTTTTTCACCATTGAATTTCATTTTGTTAGATAGTGCCCAGTGTTCAAATCTGTCCAGATCTATTTTTTTATTTTATTATTTTTATTTATGAGACTTATATTCCGCTTTAAGTGCAAGCACTCTCTAAGCGGTGTACACCAGTAAGCAATGTATATATATATTTACGTTGCCCCCAACAATCTGGGTCCTCATTTTACCTACCCCGCAAGGATGGAAGGCTGAGTCAATCTTGAGCCGGTGAGTTTTGAACCGCTTACCTGCTGAACACAGTCAGCTAAAGTGGCCTGCAGTACTGCACTCTAACTGCTGCGCCACCTCGGCTCCTTCTGTATCTTAAGCCTGTCTTCTGGAGTGTTGGCTATTCCTGCCAGCTTGGTGTCGTCTGCAAATTTGATGAGTTCCCCATCTATCCCTTCATCCAAATCGTTGATGAAGATGTTGAAGAGCACTGGGCCCAGAACAGAGCCCTGGGGCACCCCACTACACACTTCCCTCCATGTAGATGCAGTTCCATTGAGGACCATTCGCTGAGTACAGCTGGTCAGCCAGCTACGGATCCATCTGGTGGTGATTCTGTCTACCCCACATTTTTCTATCTTATCAAGTAGTAAGTTGTGATCTACTTTATTAAATGCCTTACTGAAGTCCAAGTAAATTATGTCCACAGTCTTCCTCTGATCCACTAATTTTGTCACTTGGTCAAAGAATGCAATAAGATTTGTCTGGCATGATCTATTTTTGACATGATAGCAGTGTTCCAATATCTCAGGGGTTGCCCCCAAAAAGAGGGAGTCAAGCTATTCTCCAAAGCACCAGAAAGCAGGACAAGAAGCAATGGATGGAAACTAACCAAGGAGAGAAGCAACCTGGAACTAAGGAGAAACTTCCTGACAGTTAGAACAATTAATCCATGGAACAACCTGCCTCTAGAAGTTGTGGATGCTCCAACACTGGAGGTTTTCAAGAAGAGACTGGACAGCCATTTGTCTGAAATGGTCTGGGGTCTCCTGCTCCAGCAAACCATTTCAGACAAATGGTTGTCCAATCTTTCCTTAAAAACCTCCAGTGTTGGATCACCCACAACTTCTGGAGGCAAGTCCTTCCACTGATTAATTGTTCTAACTTCCAACGGTTGCTAAATAAAGATTGTAAATTGAGGATTAGCTGTGCTCTGTTTTGCCGATTGTTTACAGCAGTGGTTCTCAACTTTTTTAATGCCGCGACCCTCAACTGGTTGTAAGTTGAGGACTACTCAACCGGTCGTAAGTCGAGGACTAGTCAACTGGTGCAGCACCGTTTGCAGAACGGGACTTTTGGCGGGCTCAGCAGGGCAGAGACAGCCTGGACAATTCCTATTGGCTTTGGAAAGCCAATAAAATTAGACCCTATTCAAGAGAGTGTCTTCTATTGGCTTTCAAAAGCCAATAGAATAAAAGGGAGTAGCACAGCCAAGGAAAAGGGGGGGAAAATGGTGGACTGCGTTGTTTGGCGACCCCCGTGAAATGGTCGTTCGACCCCAAATGGGGTCCCGACCCACAGGCGGAGAACCACTGGTTTACAGTGTTAAGCTCTCTAAAAACATACCGCGTTTCCCCCCCAAATAAGCCCTAGCTTGATTTTCATGCATGCCACTAATATAAGCCCTGCCCCCAAAGTAAGCCCTAGTTTTGGGGCAAGGCGCACAGGTAAAAATCAAGCAAGGGGAGGTTGGGGGTTGGGGGCTGCTCCACGTGCCCTGCACCCACTTACCTTAGGACCGCTGCAGCCAGGCCTCCCACACCCAACACCTGTTGTGCTGCTGGTTGAGTTCTGCAGCCGCTCGTGGCTGCACGCCACGTGGCGCATTGCTCCGGTGCCACCGCCCGCAGCAGGAGGCTGCGTGGCTAATGCCGATTGCACTGGTGCCGCTACTTGTGGCAGGAGGCCACGTGCGGTTCGTTGCTGTGGTGCCACAGTGCACGCATGCCACGGCACAACACATCACACAGCCTCCTGCCCCGAGTGGAGGCACCAGCATGTGGCATGCTGCCGCAAGCGGCCACAGAAGAAATCACACAGCGGCGTGACAGGTGTCGGGCTGCGGGGGTCCTAAGGTAAGCAGGTAAGACATCCCCTGAAAATAAGACCAGGTGCCTCTTTTGGAGGCAATATATATATATATATATATATATATATATATATATATATATATATATATATATAAGACAGGATCTATATTTAGGCAAGAAGGTTCTACATTTAGGCAAGAAAAACCAAATGTACAGGTATAGTATAATAACCAAATGTACAGGTATAGTATAGGGGGTACCTTGCTCAATAGTAGTAACAGTGAGGGATCTCGGAGTCTTAGTGGACAATCACTTAAATATGAGCCAGCAGCGTGCTGCAGCTGCCAAAAAAGCCAACACAGTGCTGGGCTGCATTAACAGAGGGATAGAATCAAGATCACGTAAAGTATTAATACCACTTTACAAGGTCTTGGTAAGGCCACACTTGGAATACTGCATCCAGGTTTAGTCACCACGATGTAAAAAAGATGTTGAGACTCTAGAAAGAGTACAGAGAAGAGCAACAAAGATGGTTAGGGGACTGGAGGTTAAAGCATATAAAGAACGGTTGCTGGAATTGGGTATGTCTAGTTTAATGAAGAGAAGGACGAGGGGGGACATGATAGCAGGATTCCAGTATCTCAGGGGCTGCCCCAAAGAAGAGGGAGTCAAGCTATTCTCCAAAGCCCCTGAAGGCAGGACAAGAAGCAACGGGTGGAAACTGAGCAAGGAGAGAAGCAATCTAGAACTAAGGAGAAACTTCCTGACAGATAGAAGAATTAACCAGTGGAACAACCTGCCTCCAGAAGCGGTGAATGCTCCAACACTGGAGGTTTTTAAGAAGAGACTGGATAGCCATCTGTCCGAAATGACGTAGGGTTTCCTGCCTGAGCAGGGGGTTGGACTAGATGACCTCCAAGGTCCCTTCCAACTTTATTATCATTATTATTAATTAACCAGTGGAACAACCTGCCTCCAGAAGCTGTGAATGCTCCAATAGTGGAGGTTTTTAAGAAGAGACTGACAGCCATTTGTCTTAAATGGTGTAGGGTTTCCTTCCTGAGCAGGGGGTTGGACTAGATGACCTCCAAGGTCCCTTCCAACATCATCATTATTATTATTATTATTATTATTATTATTATTGTCATCATCATCATCAGGGAAACATAGTAGTAGCTTGTGGTCTGGAAATATTAACTCCGCCTAACTTTCTCCCCCTCTCTCTCCAACTCCTAGTATGTCATGAATCAGGATGGAGAGACAGACGTAGTTGAAGAAAACCCTCCACCTGATAAGAAACCCCCCAACCACCATATACGTTCCTTTCCTGGCCTTCCGATCTTGTAAACATCTCGTCTTCTGTCCCAGAAGGAGCAACTTGCCGTTTCTCCATCGCCAGAGGCAAAGTCAGCTTGTGAGACTCCATCCCATCACCACAAAGTTTGCAAACGAAGGAGTCCTTCCAGGAAAGGCACTTGAGCCCTTGAGTTTCCAGAGAGATTCTGCATCTAGTCGAGAAAACGGAGATCTGGACGTTGACACAGCAAGGCTTTTCCTGCAGTTGCTGCAAGTCGGAAACCGGCATAGCAACGCCAACCTGGAAAGCACATTTTTCGTGCCAGATAATTGTAAAAAGAGATGTTTGCCTCATGCATCGCTCTGTCCCGAACAGCTTAAGGGCCAGTGTTTCTCAACCTTGACAATTTTAAGGCATGTGGACTTCAACTCCCAGAATTCCACAGCCAGCAATGCTGGCTGTGGAATTCTGGGAGTTGAAGTCCACGTGCCTTAAAATTGTCAAGGTTGAGAAACACTGGCTTAAGCCTTCTTCTGCTTTCAGAGATGGTTTGCCTAGGCCTGTTCCCACAGACACGGAAAGTCGATCCCTCCTTAACCGTCAAATTGGGGGGGGCTCCTGCTGAAACCCCCTCCGGCAAATAATGTGAAATAGAACATTGATCCAAGCTTTCCTTTCGAAGGATTCTCTCTCTCTGCATCCTACAATTCCCCAGAAATAAAGAATGTCCTTCAACCATCAGCGTCAAAATGCAATTAGGGCTTTGATTGTTTTTACGGCACTGGACAATCACCCTCTCTCCTTTTGTATCTGGATGGGATAGAAGTTGCAAACACACTAAGATTTCCTAGAACAAGCAAAAAAAAAAAACAGGAAAGGATGCAGGCTTTAACCAGCCGAGTCACAACATGCAAACCTTAAAACAAGATGCATGGTTTTTCCTTGAGCTTTCGGTACTGCCTTTCTTTCCAGCACAATAAACATGAGGAGGACTATCCGGTGGGAATAAAAACATTGACAAAAGTGATTTAGTGGGAGAGGCCTGGAATGAGGAGCTTAGCCATCAAGTCTGGACTCAGTTTGGGGACACACAGATCCCTCCCTCCCTTAAAAATAGGATCCGAAAATCTTTTTTCTTACCTACATCTCTTTGAATATTAACAATTTTGGTCCAGCCTCCACCTGTTGTTCAACACTGCGGGAAATTGCGGTAGGATTCTTGGCACAGCTTCTCACCAAAATGTTATGCCAATCCAGGAAGTTACAGAAAGGGATTTAACTATAGGCAAAGAAAAGTTAACAGCAGAAGCCAGCTGAAGGAGCAGTTGCAAACAGGAAAGTATCACCTCTCTTTTATGAGGAGGCCCTCCTGTGTGTGCTGGTCCATTCATGTGCAATCGTTGAACATTACAAGAAGAGAGAGAGAGAGAGAAGACTTCACAATCCACTGTACGCATTTTCAGAATTGTTTTTATCTTTTAACGCCTTGTGAATAAGCAGCAAAACAACGGTGGGGACAAATTGGAACTGTTAAAAAGTCGCTTGGATCAACGGCAAAAGAGCCCAGACCATTTCTGAAGCTGCTCTGTTTAGCCAGGACTGCATCATCCATCGGAAAAGGACCGTTTTTGGGAGGGGAATGGCGGATACAGAGAAAGGGGATTTCCTCACTGGAGGAAACCCACCTGGTGGGAAATGCCAGGGATTATAAGTTAGGATTTTGCTTTTTTTCAGGGAGCAACTGGACTTTCTTGTTTTGCCTTGGAAGACGTTTCGCTTCTCATCCCAGAAGCTTCTTCAGGTTCTGACTGGATGGTGGGGAAGGGAAGGATTTATACTCCTTGCAGACAGCTGGTCATTTGCATCTTTTGAGAGAGTCGTTGAGGCCACTTGGAGGTTTATCTTTGTCCTCAGGGTCACCTGAGTGGTGCAAATGGATGTGGAGCCTTCTTGGCCTCAGGCTGAAGGCTTCATACCCATTTGCACTCCAGGTGGCCTCAACGACTCAGAGAGAGTACCAATGACCAGCTCTGCGAGGAATATAAATCCTTCCCTTTCCCACCATCCCTTCGGAGCTGAAGAAGCTTCTGGGATGAGAAGCGAAACGTCTTCAAAGAAAAAGCAAGAAAGTTTTGCAAAAGCACCTGATCTAGATGACTGAGAATCTCCACCGACATCTAGCTGCGCACTTTGGGATGAACCCCCTTCCAATGGTGCGGGAGGAGGAACAGATTTCCAGAAAACATGGCAGACTGCAAGAACCGTTTGCGCTTCAGCTGAAGAAGCTTCTTGGAGGAGAAACGAAAAGTCTTCAAAGAAAAAACAAAGTCCAGTCACCTTTTGCAAAAGCACCTTTGGGACAGCCACGATCTGGATGACTTGGAATCTCCATAGACATAGTTAGGACTTTGTATGCGCAAAGCAGAGATACGTTCACAGAAAAGGCATCACGGTATGTTTGGAAACCCAGCCCTGCAGAAGCATCTTAAGGGAACCTGCGATTTCCCCATTATTATTATTATTTTTATTGTTTTACAGGATATTTCGCCTGTCTTCTGTGCATGTGGCTTGCTGTCGGTTGAGTTTTTGGAAGTATGGAAGGACCTTGGAATTGTAGGGATTAGATTGTATGGGAGAAGGATTGGAAAGGACTAGGACAGGGGTAGGCAACCTGGGCTCTTTTAGGACTCATGGACTTCAACTCCCAGAATTCCTTAGTCAGCATAGCTGACTCAGGAATTCTGGGAGTTGAAGTCCATGAGTCATAAAACAGCCAAAGTTGCCTACCCCTGGACTAGGAGTTGGCAGCCTTCCAGATGTTGTGGCATCTCTCCCATCAACTCCAACCGGGATGGCTAATAACGGGGTTGATTATTAGCCATCCTGGCTGGAGTTGATGGGAGTTGCTGGTTCAACATCCACTGGGCTGAAGGCTTAAGGCCCACCCCTTCTGTCTGAACAGAGATGAAAATAAAAAGTGATCCAGTAGCTGTTTTCTATTTACTTCTTTGGGATTTACTCACAGATAAGCCAACATCTGAAGTCAAACAATAATCTAAATGAGTGTTAAGAGTTTTTATTTCTCCATTGGCCTAGGACTGAGCAGGGCTATCTCAAAGGTTACGATGTTGAGCAGGGAATGGCCAATTCCAACACGAAAAATACAATGTCGTCCAATTAATGGAGCTTCCTTGAAGAAGTAAACACGGAGGAAGAATTTTTCTGGACCATTTTTTGCAAGGCAAATATAGAAGCCCCTGGTTTAAAATTGCCCTGAAGGTGATTTAGGTAAGGAAATGTCCACAGGGTTGTGCTTAGGATTTGTGTGTATGTGTGTGTGTGTTCAAATTCAGATCGCAACTCAGTCCAGTTTGAGTTGGATTCAAATTCCTGAGCAATTTGGGATTGTCTACAATTCCCAGGATCTTGTCAGCGTCTTCTCCAGTTAGAGCCCAAATGGAAATAACTGAAAACGTTATACATTCAAGAAAATGGTTAATAAAAGACACGTAAATACAGACAAATGCCTCTGGTAAGATCATGCACACCAAATGCGAGCGCTTAAAAAATTCAGAAATGGACTTGAAGGAGTTGGAACGTGATAAAAACCCAATTCAATCCTACAGTAAGTTGCATTAACAAAGGGATTGAGTCAAGATCACATGAGGTACTAATACCACTCTATAAAGCCTTAGTAAGGTCACACCTAGAATAACGGCATCCAGTTTTAGTAACCACATTGTAAAAAAGATGTTGAGACTCTAGAAACAGTGCTGAGAAGAGCAACAAAGATGATCAGGGGACTGGAGGCTAAAACATGATAAAGAACAGTTGCTGGAACTGGGTATGTCTAGTTTAAGGAAGAGAAGGACGAGGGGGGACAATATCTCAGGCTGCCACAAAGAAGAGGGGGGTCAACCTATTAACCGAAGCACCAGAAGGCAGGACAAGAAGCAGTGGATGGAAACTAATCAAGGAGAGAAGCAACCTGGAACTAAGGAGAAATTTCCTGCCAGAACAATCCATGGAACAACCTGACTCCAGAAGTTATGGATGCTCCATCACTGGAGGTTTTCAAGAAGAGACTGGACAGCCATTTGTTTGAAGTGGTATAGAGTTTCCTGCCTGAGCAGGGGTTGGACTAGATGACCTCCAAGGTCCCTTCCAACTATTCTATTCTATTCCTATTCTATTCTATTCCTAGTCTAATCCAGTCTAGTCCTATTCTATTCTATTCTATTCCTAGTCTAGTCCTATTCTATTCCATTCCATTCTATTCTATTCCTAGTCTAGTCTAGTCTAGTCTAGTCTAGTCCTATTTTATTCTATTCTATTCTATTCTATTCTATTCTATTCTATTCTAAACTTCTCAGTCTAATTTTACAGCCCTGGGATTTTTGAGTGATATGCATCCATCTACCAGGTACTTACAACATCAAGCAAAGGTGATGGAGGGCCACCAGGTGATAGACCGGAGATTGGGACGGTATCTTTTATCCCTTGTAAAAGCTTGTGCAAAGACTCTCCTGAGCCTGAGATATGTCTTGCTCTGCCCTGAAATTTGGTAGCTGTCAGCCATGATACAAGAAAAGAAGAAATAGTAGACTTTGGACTCTAATCAGCTGACGTCAGGCTGTCTTCTCCAGCTGTTTTGGTACCTTGCTTTTGGGAGACATCTGGATGGCCTGATCGAGCAGATGTCCACACCGGTTGGTCAAAAAGTCAAGACGGCAACTATGAAGATTCATAGAATTTTAGAACTGAAGGTGACCTTGCAGGTCATCTAGTCCAACCCCCTGCTCAAACAAGAGACCTCATATCATTCTAGACAAATGGCTGCTCTTTTTTAAAAAATCTCCATTATTGGAGCACCCACAACTTCTGGAGGCAAGTAGTTCCACTGATTAATTGTTCTCGCTGTCAGGAAATTTCTCCTTATTTCCAGTGTGAATATCCCACTGAAGCTTCTTCTGGTTTTATATCGGTTATGCTCCCATTATTATCTTGACTTTTCTGAGAAGCACCTGCGGACATCCCAGCTTATCGTTTTAAATATTTACACAGCCTCCTCTCTTAAATCCCAATCCAGGTTCACAAAAACCCAACCTTCAAAAGTTTTAACGATTTGCAAATGTATGTTTTTGTAGAAAATGTACATAGAACATGCATGGAACAATTAACCAGTAGAAAAACCTGCCTCCAGAAGTTGTGAATGCTCCAACGCTGGAAGTTTTTAAGAAGAGAGTGGACAGCCATTTGTCTGAAATGGTCTAGGGGTTCCTGCCTGAGCAGGGGGTTGGACTAGATGACCTCCAAGGTCCCTTCCAACTCTGTTCTGTTCTTTTGTGACTTCCTTGTTAGAATTCTTGTTTGCTGTTCTCTCTCTGAAAGAAAGTTAGTTAGTTCTAAGTGCAATTATGGCCTCTACCTAGTGTCAGTTTGATTGACACCAATTATCCCAAATTCACCACTTACTTTTGTTTTTTAGACAGGAGACTAAAAAAAAAAAAAATGGTAGTCCTTGACTTAGCAATTGTTCGTTTAGCGACTGAAATTACAACAACACTGGAAGAAAAATGACTTATGACCGGTTATCATATTTACAGCATCCACACAAGTTAACGTGATCAAAATTTGAGTGCTTGTCAATCTGCATGAATTTACGATTGGTTGCAGCCTCCTGGGATCATGTGATCCTCTTCCCAGCCAACTTCCGACAAGCCAAATCACCGGAGGAAGCAGGATTCATTTAACAGCTCTGGAAAAAAAAAATATCGTAAAATCAGCTGCGATTCACTGCTCAGTTGCCTTGCTCAGCACAATTATTCGGGTTCTAATTGTCGTGGGGTATCTGTGGTACGATCAGATAGGAGAAAGAATATCCAGATTTTTGCCTTGAAGTAGCCAGGCCTTTTTTTTTTTTTTTTGCAGAAACAAGCTGGAATTGGTCTAGGGCAGTGGTTCTCAACCTTTCTAATGCCGCGACCCCATAATACAGTTCCCCATGTTGTGGTGACCCCCAACCACTTATACATCACCGGGTGCCAGGGGCGTGGCCAAAGAAAAGGGGGGGGGAAATGGCGGACAGCCTTGTTTGGCGACCCCCGTGAAATGGTCGTTCGACCCCAAATGAGATCCCGACCCACAGGTGGAGAACCACTGGTCTATGGAGATGTACAATCATCCAGGTCATGGTTGTCCCAAAGATGCTTTTTTTTTTTTTTTTCAGGATGCAACTGGACTTCCTTTTTTTTTTTCTTTGAAGAGGTTTCGCTTCTCATCCAAGAAGCTTCTGCAGCTCTGACTGGATGGTGGGGAATGGAAGGATTGATACTCCTTGCAGGTAGCTGGTCATTTGCATTCTTTTAGAGCAGACATGTCAAACACAAGGCCCGGGGGCCAGATGCGGCCTGCGAAGTGGTTTCATGTGGCCCATGAAGCCATCCTGGAAACAGTGAGGGAATTGCCTCCGCTGCCTTGGCCCTGGCCCAGGCCAGCTGGGAGCCAATGTACAATTTTGTGGTGGCCATCTTGGCACTTGCCCCGGTGGACCATGCCTTGGCACTTGCCCTGGTCCCACCATCTTCTGCCAGAGACCATCAGATCTGTCCCACTCCTGTCCAGGCCCCCACAGGCACCCTTGACGCGAATGATGTAGAACGGGCTACGCCCACCCAGTAGGCCACACCCACTCCATCCATGCCCACCCAGTAGGTTGCACACACTCTGGCCACACCCACCTCCCCCCCCCAAGAGCAACGGCAATGCTGATGCGGCCCTCAGTGAAATTGAGTTTGACATTTCTGTTTTAGAGGGTCGTTGAGGCCCCTTGGAGGATT